AAAAAAAAAAAAAAAAAGTATCTGGCTCGACTACCCACCCAGAGACCCAGGGAGGGTCTGTGGATGACCAGGCCAAGTCAAAGGGGCAGCTCCCTGGAAAAGGTGCCCTGCTCGGTCCCTGCCCACAGGCTCAGGCATCGCAGTGCATCTGCTGGTCGATAGAGGGCGACCCAGAAAACGAGTTAGAGCCTGGAGGTGCTTGAGAGGTGACCGCCCAGGGGGCAAAGCTGATTGAGGGAGGCGAGGGGGACCTTGAAGATACCACCCCACAACACACAGACACATACAGACACTCGGATGAATCTTTGGGGTCTGGGACTTAGGGGAAGGCGAACGACTTACTGTGCTTCAGGGGCTGGGCTAAGCTAGGACTCTTGGATTCTATTCCTGGATCTTTGAGGACTTGCTCAAGGGGACATCTGATGGGGCTGTTTTTCTCCGGGTTTTCCTGTTCTGGGATGAAGGTCACGAATGTGAAATGGCCTGAGAGCCTCCAAGCCAGGATAAGGGAATGGTCTGGACCACAAGAAGCCCTGGGACACCATCTCCCCCGCCCCCTCGCGAAAAGCAAAAGCCGGGGGCGGGGGAACTGAAGCAGAGTCCTCAACCCCAACTCCAGGGTCCAGGATCCTCAGATCTCTGGCCTCCCATAGACCACCACAGCAGAGGGGCAGGAACCTGTCCTGGAAGGATGGCGGATGGGGCAAGAAGAGGCCAGAAGAGGGTGACCAGTTCCCTCGGGCCCCTGTCCGGGGTCACGCGTACCGCCCTCGCCCCTGCACAGCAACCTAACAGTGCGTCTGTCCGGGAAACAACGCCGCAGGGCGCGCCCCCGACCTGGGGTCCGCACCGCCACCTCGCCCGACTCGGCCCGGCACATTTCCCCACCCGGGAACCCACCGGCCCGGTCTGTGCTCACCTGGCGTCGGCTCCGCCGCGCGACGCCCCGTCCAGATGCGGCCCGGTTGCAGCAGAGTAGGGAGCGCGAGGAGCATTAGCAGCCCCTGGGCGCACGAAGCCGGGTCTCAGCAGGACTTAGCCGGCTCTGCGCCCTGCATGGCCCGGCCGCCCCGCCAGCCCCGCCCGCCGCCAGGCCCCGCCCGCCGCGCTCCTCCCCCGCCCGCCTTCCGCAACCCAAACCGGCTGTGCCGGGCCGCAGAACCGCCTGCCGCACCTTCCCCGCGGCCGGCAAGCCACAGAGCCGGCGGCGCAGCGCAGCCCCAGCGCGCCCGGCGCCGCCCGGCCCCAGCCCGCCCTGCGCGCGCAACGGCTTCGGGCGGCGCCGCCGCGCGGCAAGCTGGGAGTTGTGGTCCACGCCGCCCCGCCCCACCCGGCCGAGGAGACCCCGGAGTCGACCCCCGAGTCCGTGAGGAGACAGGCGGACTTCACTCCCGCCCTTCCTTCCTGCCGACCCTGGCCCTTACCCACTGCTGTCCCCAGCGCCCAGATGTAGGAAGAGCACCCCAATCCACACCACAGCCGAAAACCCGAAGCACGCGCTCGGGCCCCGGCCGAGTTCAGCCAACACCCAGCACCACACCTAGAAGCTCGCTAAAGCGGCGATTTCAGGCAGAGGTGAGCGGGGCGGTTGCACTCCGCAGCCGGCTCTGTGGCGCAATGGATAGGGCATTGGACTTCTAGCTTGAGCTCTGGTGTGGTCACTCAAAGGTTGTGGGTTCGAGTCCCACCAGGGTCGAATTTTGATGGCTCCTACTCCCTGACTTCCACCTGCGTGTTTTGAGGACTCCAGGACCTATATAATAAAGTTCATAAAGAAAATAATAAATCACACCCAACTTTGCTGCGACACAGCCATAAACCTGGTGTCCGGGTGACTAAGAGGAATCCTTTCTCATATCATGGTGTCTTGTGAGCAGCCTGGCACACCTGTTGGCACAAAGGACACGGATTTGGAGGCCCTTAGTTAACTTCACCATCTATGATCTCTGGTCCCTGCGGTAAATCAGTTAACCCATAAACCTATGCCCTTATTTGTCATGCCACCTGCAGAGCCATAGGCAAGCAGCCAGATTCTTGGCCCTGTTGGGACTCTTGGCCTCTGAAAAATTGGTTTCTTGTTAATTAACCATGTCAGGCATCCACAATTGCCACTTGGAATAGATCCCTCGGAGGCTGAGGCAGGAGAATTGCTTGAACCTGGGAGGCGGAGGTTGCAGTAAGCTGAGATTGTGCCACGCACTCCAGCCTGGGCGACAGAGCAAGTCTCCGTCTGGAAAAAAAAAAAAAAAAAAAAAAAAAAAAGACATTCTGGCACTGGCGTGGTGGCTCAAGCTTGTAATCCCAGCACTTTGAGAGGTGGAGGCAGGAGGATCGCTTCAGCCAGGAGTTCAAGACCAGCCTGGGCAACATAGTGAGACCCTGCCTCTACAGAAAAAAAAAAAAAAAAAAAAAAATTAGCCAGGTAGCTCTGGCTTGTACTCCCAGCTACTCAGGAAGCTGAGGTGGGAGGATTGCTTGAGCTCTGGAACTTGGGGTTGCAGCGAGCTGTGATTGCACCACTGCACTTCACCCTGGGCAACAAAGTAAGACTGTGTCTCAAAAAATGAAAATAAGCTGGGCACAGTGGCTCATGCCTGTAATCCTAGTACTTTGGGAGGCTGAGGTGGGCAGATCACATGAAGTCAGGAGTTCAAGACCAGCTGGCTAACATGGCAAAACCCTGTCTCTATTAAAAATACAAAAATTAGCCGGGTGTGGTGGTGCACGTCTGTAGTCCCAGCTACTCGGGGACTGAGGCAAGAGAATCACTGAGAGGCAGAGGTTGCAGTGAGCTGAGACTGCGCCACTGCACTCCAGCCTGAGCAACAGAGCAGCGAGAGCCTGTCTCAAAAAAAAAAATTATAATAATAAAATAAGGATGAAATTTTGGTCTGATAAGGATTGGGACCTATTTCTTCTGGAATACAGGGTGCGTCCTTTTGGGGATGTGGGTAAATTCCAGCACCACATTCTTCATGGGTATCACCATCAGGAGGCAGAATGTGCAGTGGTATGGGCATGGGCATGGAGTTCAACTTCTCAGCTGAAAGGTCAAGATTCATTTTCTTCATATATATAAAAATTGGGACATACTAATTCATAATACCTCACAGGGTCGGTGTGGAGATTTGTGGGGAGTATTTGGGTTTTTTTTTTTTCCTTTGAGACGGAGTCTTGCTCTGTCACCCAGGCTGGAGTGCAGTGGCACGATCTCTGCTCACTGCAAGCTCCACCTCCCGGGTTCACGCCATTCTCCTGCCCCAGCCTCCCAAGTAGCTGGGACTACAGGCGCCCGCCACCACACCTGGCTAAGTTTTTTGCATTTTTTTTTAGTAGAGACAGGGTTTCACCGTGTTAGCCAGGATGGTCTTGATCTCCTGACCTCGTGACTGGCCTGCCTCGGCCTCCCAAAGTGCTGGGATTACAGGTGTGAGCCACCGCGCCCGGCCAGGGTTTTGTTTTTGAGACAGGAAGACAGGAAGACAGGAAGACAGGATCTGGCTCCATCACCCAGGCTGGAGTGCAGTGGTGCGATCATAGCTCACTGCAGCCTCAACTTCTTGGGCTCAATGGATTCTCCCCGCCTCAGCCTGGGACTATAGGCACGTACCACCACATCCGGCTTGTGGGGAGCATTTGCAGTAGTGCTTTACATGTTTATAATTGTGGCTTATAGACTCATTAAGCATGAAGTACATACAAGATCAAGATCTAGACAGGAAGGTTATCTCTGATTTTCAGAAGGGCTTGGCAAATAACAGAAGCTCAATAAACATTTCTTTTTGTTTGTTGGTTGGTTTTTTTGAGACAGTCTCGCTCTGTGGCCAGGCTGGAGTGCAGTGGCACGATCTCAGCTCACTGCAACCTCTGCCTCCCGGGTTCAAGCGATTCTCCTGCCTCAGACTCCCGAGTAGCTGGGACTACAGGCTTGCTCCACCAAGCCCATGACCAGCTAATTTTTGTATTTTTAGTAGAGACGGGATTTCATCATGTTGGCCAGGATGGTCTCAAGCTCTCTCTCTTTTTTTTTTTTTTTTTTTGAGACAGAGTCTCGCTCTGTCGCCCAGGCTGGAGTGCAGTAGCGCGATCTCGGCTCACTGCAAGCTCCGCCTCCCAGGGTTCATGCCATTCTCCTGCCTCAGCCTCCCTAGCAGCTGGGACTACAGGCGCCCGCCACCATGTCCGGCTAATTTTTTGTATTTTTAGTAGAGACGGGATTTCACTGTGTTAGCCAGGATGGTCTCAATCTCCTGACCTCGTGATTCGCCCTCCTCGGTCTCCCAGTGTTGGGATTACAGGCATGAGCCACTGCACCTGGCCAACATTTCTTGAACGAATGAAAGGGAGAATGAATTGGAGGCTCTGACCTTATCCACACCAGGATCCGTGAGTATAAACATGAGTACTTCCACATCAACTACTGAGGTCATATACGAGTGGGCAGGTGAGAGTTAGCCGGAGGGTGCTGGTGACCAGCCACCTGCTCTCCTTCAGTCAGGCTTGTCACACTGGAGAAACCAAAGCAGTACCACCGGACATTGGGTCAGGCCTGAGGGGGAGAAGCAAGAGGGAGAGCAACAGAGAGAACACGATAGCCTGCCTTTCAGTTGCTTACAGTCTAGCTGGCCACACAGAGGGCAGGTGGGAGTGAGATGGAATAGGTTGTCCCTCACTCAGTGCTCACTGTGCTGGTGTCATACTCATCACAGTACTGTCATTAAAATTTTTTAATTTTTTGAGATAGGGTCTTATTTGTATCATCCAGACAATCACAGCTCACTGCAGCCTTGACCTCCTGGGCTCAGGTGCTCCTGCTACCTCAGTCTCCTGGGTAGCTAGGGCTACAGGTATGCACCACCACATCGGGCTAATTTTTTGTATTTTTAGTAGAGAAGACGTTTCATCATGTTGTTCAGGCTAGTCTGGAACTTTTGAGCTCAAGTGATCTGCCTCCCCCAGGCCTCCCAAAGTGCTAGGACTCCAGGCATGAGTCACCACCTCCAGCTCTACCAATAAAATAATTTCAGAGTGGTGACTGCTCTAAAGAAAATAAGGGTAGGGTGCGGTGGCTCACATCTGGAATCCCAGCACATTGAGAGGTCAAGGCAAGAAGATGGCTTGAGGCCAGGAGTTCAAGACCGGCCCAGCCAGCATAGCAAGACCCTGTCTCTACAAAAAAAAAAAAAAAAAAAATTAATTAAAACAAACAAACAAACAAACAAAAAACACAGCCGGGCCCGGTAGCTCACACCTGTAATCCCAGCACTTTGGGAGGCTGAGACGGGGGGATCATGAGGTCAGGAGTTTGAGACCAGCCGGACCAACATGGTGAAACCACATTTTTATTAACAATTAAAAAAAAAAATTAGCTGGGCATGGTGGCAGGCACTTGTAATCCCAGCTACTCGGGAGTCTGAGGCAGGAGAATTGCCTGAACCCGGGAGGCGGAGGTTGCAGTGAGCTGAGATCGTGCTGTTGCACTCCAGCCTGGGTGATAGAGTGAGACTCCATCCCCCAAAAAAAAGAAAGAAAGAAAAAAAAAAAACACTTGGCTGGGCATGGTGGCTCATGCATGTAATCCTAGCACTTTGGGACGCCAAGGCGTGCAGATCACCTGAGGTCAGGATTTTGAGACCAGCCTGGCCAACATGGTGAAAACCCATCTCTACTAAAAATAAAAATTAGCTGGGTGTGGTGGAGCACCCTTGTAATCCCAGCTACTCGGGAGGCTGAGGCAGGAGAATCACTTGAACCTGGGAAACGGAGGTTGCAGTGAGCCGAGATCACGCCATTGCACTCCAGCCTGGGTGACAGAGTGACACCGTCTCAAAAAAAAAAAAAAAAAAAAAATTTAGCTAGGCGTGGTGGCACGCATCCATAGGCCCAGCTACTAGGGAGGCTAAAACAGAAGGATCCTGGAGCCCAGGGGGTCGAAACTGTAGTGAGCCGTGATCGTGGCACTGCACTCCAGCCTGGGTGACAGAATGAGACCCCATCTCAAAAAATAAATAAGTAAATAATAAACAGATGATAGCATGGAGAGAGGGGGAGGGGGACTAGGGACTGCTTTAGATGGCTGAGAAGCCCAGGAAGGCATCTCTGAGGTGACATGTGAGCAGAGATGTGAATGACAAGGAGCTCACCATGTAACAACCTGGGGATGGTGCTGTTCCAAAAGGCAGGAAGAAGCCTGGTGTGTTCAGGAAGCAGGATGAAGGCAAGCATGGTTTTTTCTTTTTTTTTGAGACGGAGTCTGGCTCTGTCGCCCAGGCTGGAGTGCAGTGGCGCGATCTTGGCTCACTGCAAGCTCCGCCTCCCGGGTTTACGCCATTCTCCTGCCTCAGCCTCCCGAGTAGCTGGGACTACAGGCGCCTGCCACCTCGCCCGGCTAGTTTTTCGTATTTTTTAGTAGAGACGGGGTTTCACCGTGTTAGCCAGGATGGTCTCCATCTCCTGACCTCGTGATCCGCCCGTCTCGGCCTCCCAAAGTGCTGGGATTACAGGCTTGAGCCACCGTGCCCGGCCCTAAGCATGGTTTACTGAGATGGGAGACTGGAACTTTCTACGCAGAAGTTAGTAGGGCATCACCGGTGATTACCTGTAGCCAGTTTGAGTTTTCTCCAATCATGAGCTGGCAACACAAATGCCACCCTATGCTCAGGAGACCAGACTCCATTCCCAGCTAAGCCTGACGCTTTGTGTCCATCTCACGAGTGCTATAAAGGCTCAGGGTTGTCCAGGCACTGCTTGCCTAGAGCAGGTGAGCTACCCAGCTGGGCAGTGAAGGCCATCTGTCTGACCTCCGCTGCCACCCTGGCACTGTTGACTTTGGTGAGCTGCAGTGGGGGTGTCTAGGACCCTGGGAAACTGCAGAAACAGCTGGCAGGTCTGCAGAGACTGGCGAGGTATGGAGACTCACTAGCATGGCCTCCTTTTCCCGCAGAGATTCAAGAAGCTCAGAACAAGGTTTCCCTCCTGAAAAGTCCGTGGTTCTGAGGTGGGCCTCCAGCCTCTCCTGCCCTTCCTCTGCTATTAGGATCCCTGAATCAGACGTGGTATGCACAGGGAAGGCTGGAGCCCTGGTATGGCAGTGCTGAGCAGGTCTTCAGACAACCCGTGGTTCCAACCCCAGCTCTACTCCTACTGCCTCATTAGTAAAACACAAGTAAAATACCACCTCCCTCCTTGGGTGGTGACCTTGAGGTGTCAATACGATAATGCATCTCAAGTGCATGGTACTGCCTGACATATAGTACAGTTAGAAACTGATCATAGATAGGGAAACTGAGGCACTGGTAAACGTAGCAGGGGGCCTGTGGCCTGTGTTTTAGTTACTCCAAGCAATTCTCTGCCTGCCTCTGGGCCATCAATCACCTATTCAAGCAATGAGGAATTGGCCTGAAAAATGCTAAAGCCTCTTCCATCTTAGGGCTTGTCTGGTTCTAAATCCCAAGCTAGGGCCACCCACTCTTCTAATACCTTTCATCCAGCCAGTCCTTGTTCCTTGGCTCTTACCCAAGGAAAATGCCTTTTTGCCACTCCAAAATGAACTGCAGCCTTTTGTGCTTATGAACACAGTAAGAAAACAGCTCCTGATTGGCTGGAAACAGTGGTTCACATCTGTATTATTTGGAAGACCAAGGGCAAGAGAATCACTTGAGCCCAGGAGTTCAAGCAGCCTGTGCAACAGAGACCTCAATTGTACAAAAAATTAAAATTAGTTGGGCGGCCAGGCATGGTGGCTCATGCCTGTAATCCCAGCACTTCGGGAGGCCTAGGTGGCCGGATCATGAGGTCAGGTGTTCAAGACCAGCGTGGCCAACATGGTGAAGCCTCATCTCTACCAAAAAATACAAAAATTAGCTGGGCAGGATGGCATGCTCCTATAGTCCCAGCTCCTGGGAAGGCTGAGATGGGAGAATTGCTTGAACCTGGGACACAGAGGTTGCAGTGAGCTGAGATCACACCACTGCATTCCAGCCTGGGCAAAAAGAGTGAGACCCTGTCTCAAACATAAATAATTAAAAAATTAGTTGGGCATAGTGGTGTCTACCTGTGGCCTCAGCTACTGGGGAGGCTGAGATGAGGACTGCTTGGGCCCAGGAATTGAGGATGCAGTGAGCCATGATTATGCCACGCACTCCAGCCTACATGACAGGGCAAGAACTTCTCTCAAAAAAAAAAAAAAAAAGAACACCAAAAAAACACATTAAAAAACCAAAAAACCCCACCTCCTGCTCCTTGGGTCCTTTCTCTGAAGTCCATCTTCTGAATGTCCTCTCAGAAACCCCCACAGTAGTCCTAGGGGGTGAGCGCCTTAGGATTCCACTTTTCTTTTCTTTTTTTTTTTTGAGGCGGAGTCTCGCTCTGTCGCCCAGGCTGGAGTGCAGTGGCTGGATCTTGGCTCACTGCAAGCCCCGCCTCCCGGATTTACGCCATTCTCCTGCCTCAGCCTCCTGAGTAGCTGGGACTACAGGCGCCCGCCATCTCGCCCGGCTAGTTTTTTGTATTTTTTAGTAGAGACGGGGTTTCACTGTGTTAGCCAGGATGGTCTCGATCTCCTGACCTCTTGATCCGCCCGTCTCGGCCTCCCAAAGTGCTGGGATTACAGGCTTAAGCCACCGCGCCCGGCCCAGGATTCCACTTTTCTTGAGATGAAATGGGGACTCAGAGAGGGGAAGCGACTTACCCTAAGTCCTCTGCTGGAAAACAGGGAGGAGTTGGCCGGGTGTGGTGGCTCATGCCTGTAATCCCAGCACTTTGGGAGGCCAAGGTGGGCGGAAGAACACGAGGTCAAGAGATCAAGACCATCCCGGCCAACATGGTGAAACCCCGTCTCTAAAAATAAAAAAATTAGCTGAGTATGGTGGCATGCGCTTGTAGTCTCAGCTATTCCGGAAGCTGAGGCAGGAGAATCATTTGAACCTGGGAGACGGAGGTTGCAGTGAGCCGAGATCTCACCATTGCACTCCAGCCTGGCGACAGAGCAAGACTCCATCTCAAAAAAAAAAAAAAAAAAAAAAAAACAGGGAGGAGCAGGGAATTTGAATCCACGTCCACCCAGCTTCGGCCAGAGGAGAGGGGACAAGCAGCTAAAGCCCAGGCTGGGAGGGGAACTTCTGCGCTAGTGCTTGGAAGTCGCAAGAGTGCCAAAGTCAGGGGCATCCCTGGGGGAAAGGACAAGCAGACACTTGACCTGATGGGAGCCTTTATTCACACACTCGCCTCCCCCCTCCACTTCTCTCTTCTCGGGCTTTTGGAATTGGGTGTAGCCCTCACTCCTGTGAGGACACCCAGCCTGGCCCCCAGCAAACCTGGCTGGTTGGAAGGAGTCGCAACAGGAGTGCTGCGACATGCCAGCATGAGCCCAGACTGATACTGTTCACGAATGGTTCTCCTTGGACAGCTGCTGGTCCCCCGGGAGTGCTACTGTACTGCTTGCTCCCTGCGGGGTTCATCCTCAAGGCCACTCAGCAGTGGCTATGATAAATTATGATAAATGTTGTCCAAGGGTCAGTGTTCAAAGAAGAAGAACAAAGGTAGTCAAGGGAGCCCTCTGCCCCCAAGGGAAGCAGTAGATGGGGGAGGTAGGCCAGGCCCCGCTGGCTCAGGAACTCAGGCCAAGCCCTGGATATGCACAGGTGGTGCCGTAATGCCCAGCTCCTCCCGTAGAGCCCTCAGGGACTGCTCCCAGCGCCGCTCATAGTACAGGTTGAGGACACATGGGGCTCTGCGCCCGTTCTGAACAGCCCATGGGATCAACTCCAAGACCAGCACTTGCAGGCTCCTGTGGGGCAGCAGAGGAAAAAGAAAACATCAAGTCCCTGGGGGCCAGGCACTCGACAAATCAGCACTTGTGCATTTTCTCAGTTCATCCTCACAAAGACCTTGGAAGGAGGTAGTTATTATCCCTGCTTTTCAGATGAGGCAGCAGAGCTCAGTGAGGTGGAATCTCAAACCCAAAGCCACTCATCTTGAACATGTTGAAGCTCAGGTTTAAATCACAGCTCCCTCACTCCAGAATCTAACACCAACTTGCCTTCCCACTGACGCTCATCATTCTGGCCATGCACTTAGGCCTGGCCCAAGAGACCCCAGAGTCCTGTGAAATGTATAGGCTTTATTTGCTCACCTGAAGACCCTTGCCCCAGGCCAGTTTCACATCTCTGCTCCATTCTTTCTACCCTTACTTCCTGGAGAACTGGAAGGGGCAGGGCAGGCGCCTGTGTGCTCTTCCTACTTCTAGGAGCCCTTGTCCCTCTGAGTTCTGTCCTGACACCACCCTCAACCCTGACCCAGCCGCCACTTGAAAACTTACTGAGCACTGAGTTGGATCGGTCCAAAGAGAGCACCCAGGATGCACATGGGCAGGCCAGTCTGGACAGCCTCAAACCATTTCACCACGATCTCCCCTGGGGGTGAGGGATGGGTTGGGAAGTGAACAAGCTATCTGAAGGAAAGGCCACTGGTGTTCACAGCAGGGCAAAGAGGGGCAACTGTTCTTCCCTAATCTCTACCAGGGTCAGCTGTGCCCAGTCCTGGCCTGCGCTGGGCCCTGGGGCACTTGGCTTGGAGTACGGGAGAAGGCCTAAGAATGAACAGAAGGGAATAAGGGATGGAAAGGAAGCCTGGGGTCAGAGCGCAGAGGATCCCATGACCCCATAAGCCAGGCTAAACACTCCAGGATGCTTCCTGCAGGCCTTAGGGAGCTACTAAGGTTTCAGAGCAGGGAGGCAGCTAAAGCCCAAAAGACACCAGGAGTCTTGAAGATGGGCTGCTGCTACACTAGTGCAGGAGCCCTGAGGGACAGTGGGAGGGAGAAGGGGGACATGTGGCAAAGATGCTACTAAGATGTTCAGGTAAAACAGAAATTGAGGCACCAAGCCAGGTGATGCAGAGGGTGGTGGAGATAGGCAAGCCCTGCCCTGGCCCTGAAGCCACCCCAGGGAGACAGGCTGTCAGGGTTGGGGGCACTCACCCAGGATGTTGGTGGGCATCCCCAGCAGGGTGTGAAGCATGTCGTGCACCTCCCGGTATCGCTGAATCACATACGCTAGCTCCTCATCATCCACGAAGCGGGTGGGTGCTCGGGTGTCTGGGGAGACCCTCTGACAACCATAAGCCCCCCCTAGAACCCTTCCTGATGGTTCTCAGGGCCCAATTTGCCAGTCTGTCTCTGACACTGTCACAATGCTCACCAAACTCGTACCCTACTAGAAAACTCTGGCGACTAGCCAGGGGCCGAAGCTCATGCCTGTAAATCCCAGCACTTTGGGAGGCTAAGGTGGGCACATCACCTGAGATCAGGAGTTCAAGACCAACCTGACCAATACAGTGAAACTCTGTCTCTACTAAAAAATACAAAAATTAGCTTGGTGTGGTGGTGCACACCTATAGTCCCAGCTACTCGGGAGGCTAAGACAGGAGAGTCACTTGAACCTAGGAGGCGGAGGTTGTAGTGAGCCGAGATTGCACCACTGCACACTCCAGCCCGGGTGACAGAGACTCTGTCTCGAAAAAAAAAAAAAATAGTCAGGTGTGGTGGTGTGTGCCAGCTACTCAGGAGGCTGGGACAGGAAAACTGTTTGAGCCCAGGAGTTTGAGGTTACAGGGAGCTATGACTATACCACTGCACTCAAGCAAGACATTGTCTCTAAAAATAAAAAATGAAGCCCCAGAAACCCTGATCCTAGCACAAGCTGCTCCCAGCTTGGGGTGCTCTCTCCCACTACACCTATCTTCACTGTGATAACTCCTACTTATCCTTCGTGACCTGGGTTAAGTGTCCCCTGTCCCCCATCCCTTCCCCCCACCACAGAAAGGCTGCCCCTAACCTACAGACCAAGTGGGTTCATGTTATGGTCTCTGGAAGCATCATTCACCTCTTAGTGGCACTCAGAATAATTGTACCTTGATGTTTAGTGCATGTGAGTATTAATGTCTCCTAGACTTGCACTGTCCAGTATGGCAGCCACTTGCCACACATGGCCAAGAAAGGTGTCCAAGTGAGATGTGCTGAATATATAAAATACACACAAGACTTCAAATACTTAGTATGAAAAAAATGTACAAATCTCAATAATTTAAAAATATTGATTACTTGTTGAAATAATACTTTGGCTATATCGGGCTAAACAAGATGCATATTTAAAATCAATTCTAGCCAGGCACGGTGGCTCATGGTTATAATCCCAGCATTTTGGAAGGCTGAGGCGGGTGGATCACCTGAGGAGTTCAAGGCCAGCCTGACCAATATGGTGAAACCCCATCTCTACTAAAAATACAAAAATTAGCCAAGCATGTGGGCAGGCACCTGTAATCTCAGCTACTTGGGAGGCTAAGACAGGAGAATTGCTTGATCCCAGAAGGCTGAGGTTGCAGTGAGCTGAGATGGCTCCATTGCACTCCAGCCTGGGCAACAGAGTGAGACTCCATCTCAAAAAAACAAACAAAAAATTAATTCCACCTTAATTTTAATAGCAAAATTTAATTTTAGTAGCAAAAAAATTAATTTCTTTTTGCTATTAAAGTAGCTGGCAGAAAATTAAACATTACCTACGTGCTCACATTTATTTATTTTTATTTATTTAGTCTTGCTCTGTCACCCAGGCTGGAGTGCAGTGGCGCAATCTCGGCTCACTGCAAGCTCCGCTTCCCAGGTTCACGCTATTCTCCTGCCTCAGCCTCCCAAGTAGCTGGGACTACAGGCGCCTGCCACCACGCCCAGCTAATTTTTTGTATTTTTTAGTAGAGACGGGGTTTCATGTTAGCCAGGGTGGTCTCGATCTCCTGATCTTGTGATCCACCCACCTCGGCCTCCCAAAGTGCTAGGATTACAGGCGTGAGCCACTGCGCCCGGCCTATTTTTGTTTGTTTGTTTATTTTCTGAGACAGAGTCTCGCTCTGTTGCCCAGGTTGGAGTGCTGTGGTGCAATCTCAGCTCACTGCAACCTCCTCCTTCTCCTCTTGGATTCAAGCAATTCTTCTGCCTCAGCCTCCTGAGTAGCTGGGATTACAGGCATGTGCTACCACACCCAGCTAATTTTTTCTTTTTTCTTTTTTTTTTTTTTTTTTTAAAAGTAGAGATGGGGTTTCACCATGTTGGTCAGGCTGGTCTCAAACTCCTGACCTTGTGATCCACCCGCCTCGGCCTCCTGAAGCGCTGGGATTACAGGCGTGAGCCACCACACCCGGCCACTCACATTTTATTTTTATTGACAGTATCAAAACAGCCTGTCTGCTACACATGGGCAGGACTGGCTCTGTTTCGCTTATTCTTTTACCTCCAGTAGCCTGATCCAGGGCCTGGATGAATGAACATCTCTTGAACATATGAATAAAAGGCCAGTCCTGGGCACTTTTCTGACCCCAGAACTCTCCTCCTCTTACCTGCCCACTGCCTCTGAGTACTCAGTAGCACCCATACAGAGTGGGAACAGCCTGATCTTCCTGTTCCCAAAGAATGGCTTTAGCTTGTTGTGTGAAGCTGAAGGTGATCATAGAGTATCCACCAGGTGCTGGCACCTAGGGTGTCCTTTACAGATATTATCGTATTTCATCCTTGCAATCTTGGAGGTAAATACTGTTATTACTGCAGATATAGATAAAGAAAACAAAGGCCGGGCGTGGTGGCTCATGTCTGTAATCCCAACACTTTGGAAGGCCAAGGCCAGCAGATCACTTGAGGTCAGGAGTTCAAGACCAGCCTGGCCAATATGGCGAAATCCCGCCTATATTAAAAATACAAAAATTAGCCAGGCATGGTGGCACACGCCTGTAGTCCCAGCTACTCGGGAGGCTGAGGCAGAAGAATTGCCAGGAGGTGGAGGTTGCAGTGAGCCAAGATTGTGCCACAGCCCTCCAGCCTGGGTGACAGAGTGAGTCTCAAAAAAAAAAAAAAAAAGGAAAAAAAAAAGGAAAACAAGGCTCAGAGAGATAAAGTAATTTGCCCAAGATCACACAGCTAGTAAAGTGGCTGAGTCAGCATTTGAAACAAAGTCTGTTGGATTCCAAAGTCAGTGGCCTTAACATCCATTACCAAAGCCGATAAGTGCCCTGGAAGATGTATGTGAGGTCGTCTTACTTCTGATGAGGAATCTGAGACTCAGCAAGGTCAAAGGATTTATCCAGGCTTGTAAAGCTGGGAAGTGAGCCAGGATTCTCATTCAGGCTCCTAATTCTCAAGCCCATGCCTATAGTCTTGATACTACAAGATGACTATACCTCTCACCAAAGTCAGCCTCAGGGAGGGGAGGGTAGCCTCACCTTGAACCTTTATCTAAATCTCTGCGGGGACAAAGGTACTCCTTCACATTCCACGAGCTGCTGATTTCCTTGCTCTACAAGTGTCACAATCGCCAGCGCCGTCACAAGTGGGGCTGTGGCTGAGCAAGGTGTCCTGGCAGTCCCATCCCTGCTACCCCCTCCCCTCCACAGCAACAGGGCTAAAGATGGGGAAATTCAGAAGACTTCCCTCCCTATGTGGCACTTGAGGCAGGTCACCCTGGTGAGTTTCCCACTGATGAGATGACTTGCATCCTGGTGCAATTTGAGAGATGGTTTAAAATAGGGCAGGTGATTGCCCTGTCAAGGTAGCTGTGCAGGAGACTGAGGAACAGAACATCGTCTCAGAGACAATAACCATTTAGAGCAGTGGTTCTCAACTGCCCACCAGGGAACACCTGTAATCTCTGGAGACATCTGTGGTTGTCACAACTTGCCAGGGAGGGGGTGCTCCTGGCACCCAGTGGTAGAAGCCACCATTAAACATCCTATCAGGCTCAGGACCGCCCCCACAACAAAGAGTGATCCAGCCCAAACACTAACACTGCCCAGGCTGAGAAACTGTTCTAGGACAACCTTTGGAGACCCCTCACCTCCTCCAGCCTGGCTGGCTCTGGCAGCCAGGCTGGATAGCCATTTGGCAGGGGTGCCTTGATGGGATGTGTCTGTGTTGGAGGAGGGAGGGAAGATGGGACAGGGACAAGGAAGATGGGCCATCAGGATTCTAAGGTCCTTTACAAATCAGGTCACTTTACTACCCTGCTCAAAACCTTCCACAAGTTACCTACTACTCCTATTACAAAATACAGACTCCTTCTTCTGGTGGCCTGCAGGGCCCAGCTGGGGCTCCCCTTCCAGCCCACTCACTCCTCTGTGGCCACCCTGGTCAACCTTCCTTTTCCTAAACACATGGGGCCTCTGCCCTTGCCATTGCCTCTACTCAGAATGCTCTTCCTCAGCTCTCCACAGGGTTGGCTCCTCCTTACCTTCCAAGTCTCCTCAGAGGAGCCGGCTCTGACCACCCCGTCAGAAGTGGCTGTACCCTTCCCAACACCAAAGTTGTCTTCTATCACACTAACTTGTTCTCTTGCTAACTGCTAGAACATAAGTTCCACGAAGGCAGGCTTTTGCTGGTTTTGTCCACTGTATCCCAATTGCTGACAATAGTGCTGGTATACTTTTTTAAATTTTTGAGACAGGGTCTTGCTCTGTTGCCCAAGCTGGAGTGCAGCTGCGTGATTACGGCTCACCGCCCTCGACCTCCTGGGCTCAACCGGTCCTACTACCTGAAACTCCCTCCCAGGTAGCTGGGACTATATGGGTATACATCACCATGCCCGGCTAATTTTTGCATTTTTTGCAGAGACAGGGTTTCAACATGTTGCCCAGGCTGGTCTCAAACTCCTGGGCTCAAGTGATCCGCCCACTTCAGCCCCCCAAAGTATTATGATTACAGGCATGAGCCAACATGCAAGGACCAGTGCCAGAATATTCTAATTACTTGAAACATTTTACCTGTATTTTTACATGAATTTTTTTGTTTTGTTTGGTTGGAGACAGAGTCTCACTGTGTCACCCAGGCTGGAGTGCAGTGGCACGATCTCAGCTCACTGCAACCTCTGCCTCCTGGGTTCAATCAATTCTCCTGCCTCAGCTTCCCAAGTAGCTGGGATTACAGGTGCACACCACCTCACCCGGCTAATTTTTGTTATTTTTAGTAAAGAAAGGGTTCCACCATGTTGGTCAGGCTGGTCTCAAACTCCTGACCTTAGGTGATCCTCCCGCCTCAGCCTCCCAAAGTGCTGGGATTACAGGTGTGAGCCACCGTGCCCTCCCTGAAAATTTTTTAAAACTATTTTATTGTCTACCTCTCCAAGTAGAACAGAAATGAGGGCAGGGAACTTGGCTGTCTAGTTCACCATTATATCCCCAGTACACAAAACAATGGATGGGCTGGGCACGATGGCTCACACCTGTAGTCCCAGCACTTTGGGAGGCTGAGGCAGGTGGATCACTTGAGGTCAGGAGTTCAAAACCAGCCTGGTTAATATGGTAAAACCCCATCTCTATTAAAAATACAAAAATTAGCCAGGCGTTGTGGTGTGCACCTGTAGTCTCAGCTACATGGGAGGTTGAGGCAGGAGAATCACGAGATCGCACCACTGCACTCCAGCCTAGGTGGCAGAGTGGGACCCTGTCTCAAAAAAAAAAAAAAAGGCCGGGCGCAGTGGCTCAAGCCTGTAATCCCAGCACTTTGGGAGGCCGAGATGGGCGGATCACGAGGTCAGCAGATCAAGACCATCCTGGCTAACACAGTGAAACCCCGTCTCTACTAAAAAATACAAAAAAAACCTAGCCGGGCGAGGTGGCAGGCGCCTGTAGTCCCAGCTACTCGGGAGGCTGAGGCAGGAGAATGGCGTGAACCGGGGAGGCGGAGCTTGCAGTGAGCCGAGATCCGGCCACTGTACTCCAGCCTGGGCGGCAGAGCGAGACTCCGTCTCAAAAAAAAAAAAAAAAAGATGGCACATGGCAGAGGCTCAGTGAGCTTGCCAATAGTCAGAACACCCCCTTCCCCCCTCTCCTTGTCCTCCCTGCCTGGGGCTGGAGAGTGCCACACCTGCCATACCGCAGGGAAAGCAATGTCCCTAGAATAAGGGGACACAGTACAGCAGTCAAGAGCATGACCTGGAGTTGATTACTGTCTCCATTAATACCGGTTATGTGAAATTAGCAAGTTGCTTCACTGCTCTGGGCCTGTTTCCTCACCTACTAAAAGAGGATAATAACAGAACATACTTGACAGGGTTGTGGGGGGATTCACAAGATCACGGATGAGGCTGGCATCAGGCATGCAGTGGGAGGTTAATGAACACTGGCCAGTATTATCATTTGGAGGCATGTTCCCACCCATTTGCCTATCCTATAGAAAATGACAAAGCCTTGGCATGAGCCTGAAGAGCAGTCCTGCCAATGGTGGCAGCTCAGGGCTCCTCTTTCCTCAGGGTGTCATGCCTCTGCTACTCCTCTGTCCTGTCTGGTGACTGCTAGGTACATGGAAGCTGAAAACTCACATTCACATCCAGGAAACGGAGATACTCGCGACCCAGGGAGCCTTCTGGCAGGCTCTGGAGCTTGCCCAGGTCAAGGGTGGACGTCGAAATCCGGGGACGCTCCCTGAAAGGCAAGACTTGGGCATTGGGAGGGTGTGGGCAAATGTACGTGAACGATCCAACTACAGTGAGCTGAGGGGTGGGAGAATGTACAGAGGAGTCATGTGGCCACCACAAGCCTTAATGGAGCACCTACAACTGGCCAGACCAGTGTCAGGGACTTAGGATACTACCCCAAACCAAGGACATGGGCAGGGGCACAATCTCGGCAGGAAGACAGTCCTCGAATGTGACCAGAGTACTTGCAAAAGGTACTGCAAGGAAAAGGTAAAGTCAGCACGTTATGGTGACTTAATGAAGGCACAGAGCCCTGTGGCTGAAACTGGGCCAAGGCCATCACATTGCACAACTCTGAGGTCATCACAGTGTATACACATGTATGTGAATGACACCCCTGGAACTGGGGAGTGCACAGCCTGTGCAACCATATGTGGCCAGGGTATCAAGAGCTCCCTAGCGGAACATAACAAATACAATGTGATTCTAGAGAGGTCAGAATACCTAGAGATTGCCCCCAGACCCCCAGGCAGAGCTGGGACCTACTGCAGGATCTGGGCACCCTCTGGATCCCTCCTCATCCGGTCCCTGAGGACCTTCAGGGTGCGGTGTCCTGTGGTCTCCCCTAGAACTGCGACCATGTCTGAAAGGACAGAAACGGGCACAAATGGGGGATGTCACCTTAGGTAAGTCACCTGACCTGGTCTGAGCCTTTGTTTCCTACAGGACAAATTAGGGATAATAGCTAGCTTTTTATTATAAGGATTCAGGTTAAACACTTAGCAAATTACCCAACGCACAACAAGGAATCAGTATACATACCTATAGTTCTTAATCTACTGGGGCGAGACAGCTCTGGTTGGCACAATGTTCTAAAGATTTTATAAATCACTTTTCACAATACAATATAATGTCTCCATTGATTGGTAGAGGCTTAGGTATCAGAGATGCTGGGCTACAGCCCAGGTGTGTTCACTATCTAGGTGACCTAGTGCAAATTGCTTCACATTTCTATTTTGTTTTTTTCAGACAGGGTCTTGCTTTGTTGCCCAGGCTGGAGTGAAGTGGTGTGATCACAGCTCACCGCTAGGACTACAGGCGTGCAGCTAGTTTTTAAGATTTTCTGTAGAGATGAGGTCTTGCTATGTTGCCCAGGCTGGTCTTGAACTTTGGCCAAATGAACTTGGATCATTTGGGAATCCAAGTGATCCTCCCACCTTGGATTCCCAAATTGCTGAGATTACAGGTGTGAGCCACCACGCCTGGCCTGCTTCACATTTTTCAGCCTCAGTGTCCTAATTTGTGAAGTGCAGACAACACCTTTCTTAGCTGGTTAATGTGAGAAACCATGAAAATCGTGCATATATAACATTTAGTAGCCAAGTGTAGTGGCTGACACCTGTAATCTCAACACTGGGGGGCTGAGGCAGGAGGATCACTCGAGGCCAAGAGCTTCAGACCAGCCTAGGCAACATGGCAAGATGTTGTCTCTACAAAAAAAAATTAAAAAATTCTCTGGTCTTGGCCAGGCGTGGTGGCTTATGCCTGTAATCCCAGCACTTTGGGAGGCTGAGGCGGGAGGATCACCTGAGGTCAGGAGTTTGAGACCAGCCTAGGCAACATGGCGAAATCCCTTCTCTACTAAAAATACAAAAATTAGCCAGGTGGCACAGGCCTGTAATCCCAGTACTCGGGAGGCTGAGGCACGAGAATCGCTTGAACCTGGGAGGTGGAAGTTGCATAGAGCTGAGATTGCACCACTGCACTCCAGCGTGGGCCACAGAGCAATACTGTGTCTCAAAACAAACAAAAAACTAGTGGCGACATGGACATATAGTGTTTTTTTGTTTAAGACAGGGTCTCGCTCTGTCGCCCAGGCTGGAGTGCAGTGACGCAAATCACAGCTCACTACGGTCTCGAACTCCCCTGCTCAAATGATCCTCCCATCTCAGCCTGGGAATAGAGCCGCATGCAACCAGGCCCAATTAATTCTTGTATTTTTTTTGTAGAGATGGGGATTCGCCGTGTTGCCCAGGTTGGTCTCAAACTCCTCAGTTCAAGCCATCTGCCCGCTTCGGCCCCCCTGCCCAATTGGGATTATAGGCGTGAGCCACTATAGTAAGGCCTCGCCTATTGTTTTTGTTAGTAGAAATAACAGCACTTCCCAGAACTCAAAAATCCTAGGAGACATGAGAAAAACACTGTAGAAACCTAGGATGTTCTAGTCACACATCCAGCAAACATTCATTGAGCATTTACTATGTGCCAGGCACTACCCAGAAGGCTGCAGATACAGTGGAAGGAGGCCGACACGGTCCTTGACCTCGGAGTTGACTTTTTAGTAGGGCGTTATAAACTGATCGGTACTTATAAGTCATCTAGTTAGTCTAGATGTTCTTAATATGGTTGCATGACAGATTCTCCCAAGTAGTTTAAAAAGACAGACGTTCGGATTCCACGCCCATTTCTCCCTCCATTGCAGATTCAGATTCAGTGCGTTTAGGTGGGATCCAGGAATCTGCATTTTCATAAACGTTCCGAGTGGTTACGAGCCGCAACCAGGTTTGGGTACCCCGACCTAGGCTATGTTCCAGTTACCCACAGGAAACCGCTCCCAGCCGCCCCGACAGGGGCGAGGCGCGGGCGGCCTTACCGTGGCGGTAGGGGTCATAGAGCGCCATCGCCGCGGAGCCAGCGGCCAGCAGCGCTTTCTGCAGTGGGGAGGTGGGGATGTGGTGCAAGTACAGCGGGCCGGCGCCGGCGCCGGCGCCGTCGCTCCTGGCCCGGAGAGGCATTTCTACAAAGCAAGAAAAAGGCCGAAGTCAGAGGAGCCGGGCGCCCTCAGGTTCCTTCCCGCCTGCGCCCGGAACCCGGCTTCACTTGCCTGCCGCAAGCCGCAGGAGGCCGGGAAGCCCGCGGAGCCCGCGGAGCCGGCGCACGACAGGGCGCAGCAGAGTCGCCATGGCAGTGGGCGTCCGCGGAAGATGGGCGGGCACGGAGAACGCCGTGAGTCTCTCAGGCGACGGAGCGTCGGAGGGGTCAAACCTCACTGAAAAACCGATTCTGACGGCGTTGCCAAGGCCTTTCGAGGGGAAACATCGCTGCACGTGCAGAAAGCATGTAGGCCAAGTAGGCGAAGGAAACGCACGCGAACTGTCTACCGTCTACGTCCACCGATCCAAGACTCTCGCCATTTCACCTCGCCCCAGAAAGTGTCTGCAAAGGACACGCAACCACGGTCACTCTGAGGCTCAGCGCCGGGCCCTATTTACTTCTCCATAGCCGGTTTTCCCCGAAGACTATAAAATGCGAACCTCTTCCGGCTGTGGAACATGGCGGCGCCCACGGTAAGGACCACATTTGGGGGCGGGGCCTTGCGGCACTTCCGTCCAGGTCCAGCGGGTGCTGTGATCTTCAAGTATGGGGTCCGCTGGCTTGTCGCGACTGCATGGGCTTTTCGCGGTCTATAAGCCCCCGGGGCTAAAATGGAAGCACCTGCGGGATACAGTGGAGCTACAACTTCTGAAGGGTCAGTGCCTCGAACCAGATCCACATTCCCGCTCTCGTTCTCTTGAAAGTCCATCTCCGCTTCTGGTGCTTCCCTCAAAACAAAATCACGTGACCTATTCGCTTGGACAGAGCGCTCTCCCAAACGTCTATTCTCTGTGCTTTCTTACTCCTCACTTTCCTCTGTTTTCCGAGGGGGAAAATGACTCAGTATTGTTCCTTGTCGCACCGTTACTACGTTATAGAGTCTATTTTAATCCGCCTGTTCCTTAACTACTGCTCTTCTGCCCTCTGCACCATGGGCTTCTGCTTTGTCTTCTACATCATACTTCCCTGTTGTCCAGGTGTTTGAACAGAACAAGATATTCCTGGCCAGGCGTCGTCGTGCATTCCTGTAATCCCAACTACTCTGAAGACTGAGGCAGGAGGATCGCTTGAGCCCAAGAGTTTGACATTACAGTGAACTATTATGGTGCCACTGTACTCCAGCCTGGGCGACAGAACGAGACCCTGTCTCTTAAAAAATGTTTTATATGTACATATATTTGTATGTATGTGTGTATATATTATCTCTGTGTGTTCAGGTCTCAATGCCGGGAAGCCTCCCGCCCCTAAACAGCGTGTTCGCTTCTTGCTGGGCCCCGTGGAAGGCAGCGAAGAGAAGGAGTTGACCCTCACAGCCACCAGTGTACCCTCTCTCGTCAACCATCCACTGGGTAAGGCAGATTTAAGCAGGATGCTGGGTGTCACTTCCCAGGAAATCCCTGAGCAGAGTCAGTGTCCCGGTGCTCAGACTCCTATGCCAGGCCCTTGAAGGTCCACAGAGGAGTGAGGTATTAGACCAGGAATTGGCAGACTTCCTTGGAAAGGGCCAGATACTGAATGTTTTCATTTTCAGGCCATGTGGTTTCTGTTGCAACTGCTCAACTCTGCCAATGTAGTGCAAAACAGCTATAGACAGTATCTAGAGGAATGAGCCTAGCTGTATTCCGGTAGAACTTTATGAACATTCATATTTGAATTTCAGGTAATTGTCACATGTCACGAAGTACAGTTGCCCCTGAGTCTATGAGTCCACATCCCATGATCCAGCTTCAGATCAGCAATATTTGGGAGAAAAAAGAAACACAAAGTTCCAAAAAGCAAAACTTGAATTTGCTGTTTACCTAGTACGGTGTTGAATCCACTCAAAGTGATGCATAGGCATCATATTAGATATTATAAGTAATCTAGCCAGGCGGAGTGACTCACGCCTGTAATCCCAGCACTTTGGGAGGCTGAGGCGGGTGGATCACAAGGTCAAGAGATAGAGACCATCCTGGCCAACATGATGAAACCCCGTCTCTACTAAAAATACAAAAATTAGCTGGGCACGGTGGCTCACGCCTGTAATTCCAGTACTTTGGGAGGCTGAGGTGGGCGGATCACGAGGTCAGGAGATTGAAACCATCCTGGCTAACATGGTGAAACCCTGTCTCTACTAAAAATACAAAAAATTAGCCAAGCGTGGCAGCAGGCGCCTGTAGTCCCAGCTACTTGGGAGGCTGAGGCAGGAGAATGGTGTGAACCCGGGAGGCGGAGCTTGCAGTGAGCCGAGATCACGCCACTGCGCTCCAGCCTGGGCGACTGAGCGAGACTCCGCCTCAAAAAAAGAAAAAATACGAAAATTAGCCAGGTGTGGTGGTGGGCGCATGTAGTCCCAGCTACTCGGGAGGCTGAGGCAGGAGAATCACTTGAACCTGGGAGGCAGAGGTTGCGGTGAGCTGAGATTGCGCCACTGCAAGCCAGCCTGGCAACAGAGGGAGACTCCATCTCAAAAAAAAAAAAAGTAATCTAGAGATGATTTAAAATATGTGGGAGGGCCAGGCCCGGTGGCTCATGCTTGTAATCCCAGCACTTTGGGAAGCTGAGGTGGTGGATTATTTGAGCCTAGGAGTTTAAGATCAGCCTGGGCAACATGGGGAAACCCTACTTCTACCAAAGAATACAAAAATTAGCCAGGCATGGGTGGTGCGTGCATGTAATCCCAGCTACTCAAGAGGCTGAGGCAGGAGAATCGCTTGAATCCGGGAGGTGGAAGTTGTAGTGAGCTGAAATTGCACCACTGTACTCCAGCCTGGGTGACAGAGTGAGACTCTGTCTCAAAAAAAAAAAAAAAGGGGGGGGTGGCCAGGTGTGGTGGCTCACTCCTGTAATCCCTGCACTTTGGGAGGCCAAGGCGGGCGGATCACTTGGGGTCAGGAGTTTAAGACCTGCCTGGCCAACATGGCAAAGCCCTGTCTCTACTAAAAATTAGCTGGGCATGGTAGCACGCACCTGTAATCCCAGCTACTCAGGAGGCTGAGATACGAGGAGTCACTTGAACCTGGGAGGCGGTGGTTGTGGCGAGCCAAGATCGTGCCATTGCACTCCAGCCTGGGTGAAAGAGTGAGACTGCCTCAAAAAAAAAAAAAAAAAAAAGTATATGGAACGACATGCTTAGGTTATATGCAAATACTATGCCATTTTATATCGGGGACTTGAACATCTACAAATTTTGATATCTGCAAGGGATCCTGGAACAAATCCCCCTGGATACCGAAGGACAACTGTAGTGTTCTATTTATTTGGAGACAAGGTCTCACTCTGTCATCCAGGCTGGAGTGCAGTGGTGAGATCTCAGCTCACTGAAACCTCTGCCTCCTGAGTTCAAGCAGTCTTCCCACCTAAGCCTCCCGAGTAACTGGGACTACAGGCACAGGCCACTGTGCCTGGCTAATTTTTGTATTTTTTATAGAGATGGGGTTTTCTCATGTTGCCCATGCTAGTATTGAACTCCCGGGCTCAAGTGATCTGCCTGCCTTGGCGTTCCAAAGTACTGGGATTATAAGCGTGAGCCCCTACAACTGGTCTCTTGATTTATTTTGAACCATTAAAAAATGGAAAAGCCATTCTTAACTCGTAGGCCACAAAAAACAAACAAGCTGGGTAGGGTGGCTCATTCCTGTCATCCCAGCACTTTGGGAGGCTGAAGCGGGTGGATCACTTGAGGTCAGGAGTTCAAGACCAGCCTGGCCAATATGGTGAAACCCCATCTCTACTAAAAATACAAAAAATTAGCCGGGTGTGGAGGCGGGTGCCTGTAATCCCAGCTACTCGGGAGGCTGAGGCATGAGAATTGTGGAGGTTGCAGTGAGTTGAGATCACGCCACTGTACTCCAGCCTGGGCGACAAAGTGAGACTCCGTCTCAAAACAAAACAAAATAAAAACCAAAAAAAAGCAGTCTTCAGGATTTGACTTGTGGACTGTAGTTTGCTGACCCTTTTTCTATTCTGGGACTCCAGGTGAGAAATGAGACCCTAGGTAGAAGTCCTAAGGTGGGGGTTTTGGGTTTCTGAGAAAGGATGATTTCCCAGAAAAATCATTCTGAGCCACCGTGCCCAGCCAAGAGAGTGATTTTTTTTTTTTTTTTTTGAGACAGAGTCTCGCTCTGTCGCCCAGGCTGGAGTGTAGTGGCGATAACGCAGTTCACTGCAAGCTCCGCCTCCTGGGTTCATGCCTTTCTCCTGCCTCAGCCTCCTGAGTAGCTGGACTACAGGCGCCCGCCACCACACCTGGCTGATTTTTTGTATTCTTAGTAGAGATGGGGTTTCAAACTGTGTTAGCCAGGATGATCTCGATCTCCTGACCCCATGATCCGCCCGTCTCGGCCTCCCAGAGTGCTGGGATTACAGGCGTGAGACACCGCCCCCGGCCAGGAGTGATTTTTTTAGTGAACGAAGTTGCCCAACAATGGAACTGGTTCTGGTAATGTGCCCCCGTCACTATATGTGATTAAGGCATGTGTCAGGGAATCTAGAGGTTTCACTAGAAACCTCTAAAACCCCTTGGACTTGTGATATTCATTGACTCTATTATATGGTAACAATAAGAAGCATAATTACTTATTGAGTCGTCACTCTGTACTAGGCATTGTTTTAAGCTTCCCCCAAGTACAATCCTCATTGATATCACCACAGTCCTGTGAGATGGGTCCTATTTTCATTTCACAAGAGAGAAAACTGAGGCTCAGTGTTGACATTTAGTAACATGGCCTGGATTCAGTAGGCCCTTAACTACTCTGGATCCTTCCCCTAGATTCCTCTTAATCTATGGAAGTGTAAACACTTCTGGCTCATTCCTGCATTTATTCTTTCAGTAGTTCTTTCCTGAGCAGCTAGTGAGTTGACACACCCAGGGTCTGCCTTAAGGAGCTCACAGCCTCCATTTTCCTCCAGGGACTCTTCGTCAGTTGGGCAGGGAAGCCCGCACTCTGGACCTTCAGTGTTACGCCAGTCTTCCTAGAGCCTCTCACTGGCAGACTGATGATAGGCAGAGTAAGAGGCATCTTGGGCTGCCCTTTGGATCCCAGGGCACTGAGGATACCGTTCAGGGCCCCAGATTCCATGACAGGGAAGCCTGAGAGTCTAGCCTGATGCTAGTTTGGGCTCCATGAGGCTCCATTCTGAGAATGAGGTGACCATGCAGCCCAAAGCCATCCTGGGGTGGCATTTAGTTGAGAAAATGGACCTTGTTTGTTTCTTTCCAGTATGTGGACCAGCATTCACCCATCTCAAGGTTGGCATGGGACATCGGCTGGATGTCCAGGCTTCTGGAGTACTTGGTAGGTGATGTGAGAAGCCTGGGGATACAGTGATAAGGCTTGAGAAAAGATCCCGGAGCTACCAGGAGCCCAGTCCACTTCTTACCTGGCACCCACGTCCCACCATTCCTCTCCTGCCCTGATTCTTGCCCCAAG